AGATTTTCTATTTTTTTCTAATTAAGTCTTGCTAGGTTGTATGTTTCTACAATTTTTTCCATTCTTCTAGGTTGTCCAGTTGTTGGCATTTTGTTGTTCACATATACTCTTAGGATCCTTTGTATTTCTGTGGTCTGAGTGGTAATGTCTCCTATTTCATTTATAATTTTGACTTGAGTCCTTTTCTTTTTTTCCTTAGTTAGTGTAGCTAGAAGTTTGTCCGTTTGTTTATCTTTTCAAAGAAACAACTCTTAGTTTTATTAATCTTTTCCGTTGTTCTCCTGTTCTCAACTCCATTTACTTCTGCTCTAATCTTTATTCTTTCCTTTCTTCTGCTAACTTTGGGCTCATATTGTTCTTCTTTCTCTAGTTCCTCGAGGCTTAGAGGTAGGTTATTTGTTTGAAATCTCTTTTATCATTGTAAACTTTTGTCTCAGAATTGCTTTAGTTGCATCCCATAAGTTTTGATACATTGCATTTCTATTTTGACTAGTTTCAAGATATTTTTAATTTACCATCTGATTTCTTCTTTGACCCATTCATTGTCCAAAAGTGTGTTGTTTCATTTCCACACATATACAGATTTTTCAGTTTTCCCTCTTGCTAATTTCTTGTTTCATGCCATTGTAGTTGAAAAGATACTTGGTATGATTTTAGTCTTCTTAAATTTGCTAAGACTCATTTTGTTTCCTATCATATGATGTCTTCTGGAAAGCAATCTGTGTAGACTTAAGAAGATTGTGCATTCTGCCACAATTGGATGGAATACTCTGTACATGTCTATTAAGTTCATTTGATCATAGGATGGTGCAATTCCAGCATTTCCTTGTTGATTTTCGGTCTGAATGAGCTATCCATTAACCAATAGATATTGAAGTCATCTACTATTATGGTATTGTGATCTTTCCCCCCTTCAGATCTGTTAGTATTTGCTCGATATATTTAGGTGCTCAGATGTTGGATACATATTTATATATGATTGTTATATCTTCTTGTTGCATTGACCTCTTTCATTCTCATTACAGCTTTTGGACTTAGGTCTATTTTGTCTAAGTATGGCTACCCAATTTCTCTTGGTTTCCTTTGCATGGAATATCTTCTTCCATCCTTTCACTTTGAACCTACATGTGTCCTTAAAGCTGAGTGAGTCTCTTGTAGGTACATATAGTTGGGTCTTATTTTTTTATCCAGCCAGTCACTCTGTGCCTTTTGATTGGTGAATTCAATCCATTTATATTTAAAGTGATTATTGATATGTAAGGACTTACTACTGTCATCTTATTGATTGCTTTCTGAGTTATTATTACATTTACATTATTTCTTTTCCCCTCTGTTTCTGTTTATCTTTGTAGATTGGTGTTCCATGGTAATATGTTTTGTTTCTTCTTTCAGCCTTGTTTGTTTGTTCAGTATTTCCATGGGAAAATCAGGGCTTAGAACTTCCAAGTCTGCCATTTTGTTGACCTCACTCTCTGCTACTCGTTTTTGTTTATAATTTCATTTTTATGTTTATCAAGGAAATGCTTGAACATACATTTAAAAGAAAACAATTTTACAAAGTTGACAACAAAAAACTGAAAGCTCCTGCCCCATTCCTGCCCACTCTGATTCTTCTCTCCAGATACACCCACTTCCAAATTCTCCAGATTATCTTCTGGTATGATGACCATGCTTTTAATACCATGCTTAGACTGACTGCTATTCCTAGCTATTTGAGGTTGCACTTTCTCTATTGACTCTTTACTGTAGGGGAAGATAATTTAGTTTTCTTGTAGCTCAGCTCCCCTACATGATTGTGCCTCACTCACTTCCATTCTCCCAGCAGAGTTATATCACTTGGATGTTTTGGCTTCAAGTTTTAATGGTAGAGATGTCCTGAAATGCCTGGTGATCCTTAACTCTCCATTCTCATTTAACAGTGGGGCATTAAATCATGACTGGAGCTCTGTGTACCAGAAGCCCACATGGTTGCCCTCGTTCCATACTGCCTCTTTCCTAGGGACCTATGGTGGTTTTCCCATGACCCATGAGCACTCATGTTCTTCTGTGTTCTAGAATCTTGACCTTCCTTCAAAATATTCACAAACTGGAAACTTTCCCAGAGTAAGTGAGTTGGTTGAAGACTCTTGTTTCCTGTAAATCTTCTTTGGAAGATCCTTTCACTTAGAGGGAAAGCAGAGGAGAGTAGTAATGAGAAGGAAAGTTTAAAGTGTTACCATTAGTAAAGAAAGGAATTGTCTTGCACTTTAGCATGGAAGCTTCTGATAGAAAGTTTATATTGTAGGTCCGTTGTCAGAGTTTAGTGTTTGCTACCCAGCAGTTGTTGAACATAGATAAACATGTCACACACGTCTGCCTAGTGCAATGTGTAGGGTATGGGTTTTGAGGTTAGATCTGTGTTAAATTCAAGCTAGCTATGGAAGTATGATAAATTCCATGACTTGTAAAAGCCTCAGCTTTCTTATCTGTAAAATGGGAACAATGCTGACATCCTGGGGTTATTCAGGAATTGGAACTCATGTATGTAAAGTGCCTGACACATATGTCTCAATGAATAATAATCATGGTAATGTTAGAAGAATCTACCCTTAGTTTCACCACTGTCTGTTGACAAATTTAGATGCAGCCTAGAAGCAAAAGGAGTGGTCGGCAGGACCAACTAAGAAACTTTAGTTGGAACGTAGTGCCAAAGAGCCCTGACACCACCCCAAACACACACGGGCGCGCGCGTGCATACTTTAAAAGGGCAGGAGAGGAGCAAACAGCTGGGAATGGCTTATTCCCAAGGGGAATGAGGGACCAGAGGAGTCATATCAGAATCACTGGAGGATTTTCCAAACAATGCATCCTACATCATTTCCTATGTGACAGCTCCATTTGCCACCAGAAGTCCCTCATCTCTCAATGTTCCTGAGTCCCAAGCACACACATCTGGTTGGTCACCCTTCCCACGTGTGGTTGCTAAGGGAGTGTGGCAGCTTGCAGGTATGTGGGGTGGAGAGGAGTTGCTGAAGGATCTGCTGAAAGCTGGGGAGGCAGAAATTCTGCCCACACAATGGATGCACCTCATCCCTCTGACTCAGGTCTTCTTCATTTTCAGGTCAGGCAGTGTGGACAACTTCTGGATAGCCATTTACAACCTTGTGGAAGATTTGGTCGGGAAGTTCAAAAAGTATGGTTTCCAAGGTGCAGGGTGATTTCCCCCACCAGGCAGAGTACACGGTTGTTTAGACTCGGTGGGCACAGGACTCCCTTGCATCAGGGAGGTATTCTGAAGCAGAAAAAAAGGACAGAGCACACTGGTTCCATCAGGTCTCAGCAGCCTTCTTGGCTCCTGCCTGGGAGTCAGGCCATATTGTAGGGGACACAGTCTGCCCTGGAAGACCTCACAGACTAGAAAACAGGCAAACCAGTGATACAGTAACTAAGCACCAGGTTAAATGGTGCCAAGGGCCAAAAAAAAAGGACAAAGTTATTTATAAATAAGGCAAATTAAAGGAAAAAGCAAGAATTCTTTAAAAATTCAAAGACGGCTTTTTAGAGGATGTGGAATTTTGAACTGGATCTTGAAGGATGGGAAAGACAGGGTAACAGGAACCATCAAAACTTCTTGTGCAGTGAGTGGTCTATTTTGCCAGAGGGCAGGGTTAACTCAGAGGAAAGCTGGGAGATGAGGCTGGACAGGACAGATTTGGTCCCAGGCCACCAGGGCTCATAATGCCAAGTCAGAGGACTTGGATTTCCTGCTGTGAACAATATGAAGCTATAGATAATTCTTGGGCAGGGGTCTGACATGGTCAAGCTTGTGTGTCAGGAAGGAAAGTCTAGTATTGTTGGTAAAATGTGTTGTAACAAGAGCCAGGAGCAGTAGAAAGCTTCTCTAGGAACTACTGTAGCAATTTAGCTAAAATATAATGAGGGTCAATGGACCAAATGACAGTGGCCTTCAAATGACATAGGGAGGGTGTATACAAATAGCTGCCAAGAAGGAGAATCATTTTTCTGAGATGAGAGGAGACAAGGCAGGGAAGGCTGTAAAGGAGGGAAGACGAGTGAAGGCACAAAGAATTTTACAGACCAGGAGAGGCCAGTTGGGAAGTCCTCATGCAAGAGTGCATAGGTGTCTATCTCCTGGTGTGCGCAGTGTGCATGTGCATGTGTGTGTCTGAGAGACAGAGTGAGACACTTTGTGGGGCATTGGAGTATGAGGTTGGAGAAGGATGCCATCCTGGCACTCTCTTCCAAGAAGGCCTACATCTCCACAGGCCTCCTTCATCAGAATTCCTAAAATCCTTCATGAAAGTTACAGGAACTTCCAGGGTTTAGGAAATGGACAGCAAAGCAGAAGAGTTGGGGTGGAGAGTAGAGTGATGGGCATGCACCTCCTTCCTGGCTACTCACTGGCTTCATTTTGAGCCTGTGTCATTATCTCACGAGCACGTGCTTCCTCCCCAGCCCTAAGCTGCGAATGTCCTTCATCACCTACTCCACACGTGGCCACGTCCTCATGAATCTCACCTCAGACAAGTAAGTGATGCTTTAATCCCCAAAGGTAGTCATGGTGGGCGGGGTCCAGGGAAACCCAGGGAGCTGAGGGCTTCCACTAGGTGCAGGCTGGGCTGTCCTGGGCTCCCCTCAGGGCCCATTCCGACCACTAGCCTGAGAGCCCTGGCTCCCACAGACCCCTGACTGGGTGGGTACTGGCAGACCCCTGTGCTGCTAGACCATCTCCTCTCCCTCTAAGCCATGTCCTCCATCTGTCCTGTGTCTTCTCATTGCTCTTCCCTTTTCTTAGAACAGGCTGGCTCTGAGGACTTCTGGGATCCGGTGGAGCAGATGTGTGAGCCCTTTATGAACACTGGCCTGTATTGGGCACCTGCTGTGTGTGTCCCTTTCTGCTCTGGGCTTATGGGGGATGTGGGGAGGCAGAATCAGAACCAGAAGGCAGGGTTAGGGGTTGTCAAAGTGCTGAGGGCTTCAGCGGATGGAAGCTGGGTCCCTTGGTGGGTCTGAGACAAGGTAGCTCATGAGTTGGTTCTGAACACCAGGCTGGGCTGGGGTGCAGGAGGGAGGCATGTGGTGCAGGAGCGAGGCAAGCATCCTAGATGAGACATAGGTGGACACAGCAGTGGGCTCAAAGGCCTGGAGATGGGAAGATATGGAGCTCCTGAGTAGCTGTGAGGTTGAGAGTCTCATGATGCAAGTGACTGGATCCCAGTTCAGTGGGTGAAATACCAAAGAGAGTTTGAGGACATCACGGACTGAATGCGTCCAGGATTTGTGGCGCAGAGCCACGTTCAGCACCTTGGACAGAAGCTCAGACCAGAAGAGGAGCCCAACAGCAAGGCTGC